TTTGTGGAATTTCGATCAGTGGTTTCCAATTTCTTCCTTGAAAAAAAAAATAGAAAAAAAATAGACTTTATTGCTTTTCTAATAGTTGCAAAAAAATAATTGTCAGAAAGAAAAAAACAGAGTAACAACAAGCAGATGTTTTTTGTACTTTTTCATTCATTTACGTTATATTTCTTCATTTTCTTTCAAATATCATTTCCATTGAAAAATTAGCAAATAAAAGTTTGCCATTTTTTTTTCAATTTTCAAATAGAAACTGAAAGAAAATATTTATGCACCGTAACTAAGCGCAAACATCTGTTTGCAAATAATAGCAGAAGACAAATTGATGTCTTTAGAATTGTTCATTTTGAAAATTTATGCTTATTTTTAAAGTTTAAGAATACAAAATTAAGATTTTCTTTTCAGGTATATTGTTATATTATTTCCAACAAAACGAAAACGTCAACGTAACTTAGCTTTACTCTTATTTTTATTGATATGGCTAATATCTGTGGTGCTAGCTTTACCGATGCTTATCGCATCAGATATACAAACCATTTTTGATGACTGCTTAATTATCTTACAAATATGTCAAGAGAACGATCAATTATGGCAAAAGGTAACCTTTTTGTTTGAAAAATAGAAAGAAAAACCTTGTTACCAATTAGAAAGTCTTTTTTTTTTCTGTCCTGTTAAACCGGATACTTATTTCCGATAATTATCCCGTTGTTGTTCCGTTTCTATTTTTATTTCAATATTGCTAATATGATACTGCTTAGTTGTTTCTCAGATGATGCTAATGTTGCAAAAATTAATACCACTTGAAAACATTTTTCATTTTTTGATTTTTCAGATACCGTTAGGAAAGCAATCTTATACATTAGCAATATTAATAACACAGTATGCGCTACCATTAATATCCATAGTTTTTGTATATACTCGTATCTGGCAACGTATGAAAGTAAGACTATCAGTACGGATGTCATCATATTGGGCAAATAGAGGAAGCTCCTATCAGCAAAGAAAGTAAGACACCTTTTTGCTATTACTTATCTACAATTTATTGTACACAAGTTTTATTTCTAAGTAAACAATGATGCGATCAAAAATCAAAGCATTTCTTATGGATTTTTCATGGTTTTTAATATAGAATTGCCTATTTTACAGCGGTTTTTCATCCCTTTTTTTGCTATTGGTGTTGTTTGGTTTTCTTCAGTCTCTGTTCAACTACCATGCTACCAGTTCAGGCTATATTACAACTAATAGCACTTAATTGACTAAACTATATAAGTAACTCGGATAAGAATAGAACTGAACACTGATATTTTATCCCTCGTACTCTAAAATGCCAAAAATGCTCATCACCAATGCGTTCATATTTTTCCAGCTTAATAATTTCATCCTGACTTTAACAGAAAAGTTTGTTGAAACCTCAGTCTACAAAATCGCAAATTTTCTTTGACACTAAAAAATGCAGCTATGGGGAAGTTTTCAGCAAGTTTTATTCTTTCAACAGCTTCCTAAGTATAAAGTTTAAAAATCTAAAATTTTCATGACAGCACACTACATAAACATATAAAGATGAACTGCTAAATATTTATTTGATTCCTCTCACTTGCCAATTCTGCTGTGTTAAAATCATTTGAAAAAAAAAAATACATATAATATTCGAGGATATTTAGAAGGCAAGTAACTGCTGATGCCACTTTTGAATGAAAATCTTGTTCAGAAAAGAAGTACATAATTTTATATTCCTCTCTGAAAAGGAAAATATAGGTAAAAGTAGCGGAAACTTAACCCAGGTTCCCATGTTTAGCAGAGGTAGCGCAAGAAAAGCAAATCTGTAGTGGTTTAGTGACAGTGTTTCTCAACAGTTTTGTGCTCGTTGCTGCTAACTCGACGGTTTATTGTCGTTACTTGTGCATATTTGAGAACCACATTTTTACTTCTATCTTTCAGGTCTGCCGCTGATCGAAGAAGACGTACAAACCTTCTTTTCGGATGCATAGTTATAATTTTTGCATTAGCCTGGTTACCGCTGAATGTTTTCCATGTTTTATGGACATTCCGAATCATTGAAACCTTTCCAGTCCCAGTATTTGCAGTTTGTCACTTGGCAGCAATGTTATCATCCTGTTTAAATCCTGTTTCATATGCATTTTTCAACAATAATTTTAGGGAACAATTCGCTAAAATGTTTCACAGTCTTCCAAAGTAAGTGCTCACTTTTTTCTTTTTACATTTTATTTTACTCCTTTTTATTTTTTTTTGAAAAAAAAAATAAACAAGTTTGAAAGCTAAACTCCACTTTTATCCAATATAATTAGTTTCAAGACCACTACCGTCTACTTGTTCAGGTCTACAGATATTGTCTTAAACCTGACTAAAAATACGAAAACGCTGCGTTCAAGAATTTCACTAATTGCTCTGTTTTCAGTCTTATAAGAATCTCAAAACTGTGGCAACCAGTCCCACTAGCGGAACCCTGTCGTTCGTCATTAACACTATCAAGGAAGCCAACTACTGATAGACAAAAGTCAATAGATAATGAAGAAAAAGCCTTGAATGAAAAGAATACATAAATAGAAAATAAAAATAGTAATAAAAATTTAAAAATGCAGAATCAAAGAAATCAGTGTTTTATTCATCCAACTTATGGATGGTTTAATAAATATACAAATTAACCTCCTCTTAAATTCTCATTTCTAATAGAGAAAATGATGTACAAAAGAAAATTACAAAAAAAAAAAAAAAAAAAAAAAAAAAAAAA